AACATAACATAACATAACATAACATAACATAACATAACACATAACATAACATAACATAACATAACATAACATAAAACAAAATAAAATAAAAACAAGACAAAACAAAATAAACCTTTACTGTTGCTCCATTCACTTTAGACATTTTTTGAAGCTCTGACTCCTAAGAAGGTGAGCTTCAACTAGCTGGAGAGTCATTTGTGGGGAAAGCTCCTTCCTGGAGGCACCCTGACACAAAGCAGAATGGAGAAGTCAAGAGGCATCTGCTGGATGCCACGGGAGGGAGGGCACCTGGGCATCAGGAGGGGTATGAATGTCAGAACCATTCTTGCTTCGACTCAGCACCCAGGGCCTGGCACAGACTTGGGCTCCATTGTGCCCTGCTGTCAAACAACTCCCACGAAATTTGCGAGTGAGCTCTGGGACACTGACCGTGAGAGAAGCAGCAGGCTGGGGGCAAGGCTGTCCGTGAGGGTGCACCTGAAGAGCTGGGGTATGGGACACACACCCAGCCCTGGCCCAGAACCATATCCTGGCTCTCTGCAGGGCGCCAAAAACCATGGGAGCCCTGGTGGCCAGAGCTCCTGCCCACTGGGAGCCCAGAGGAGAGTGTGTCAGAGACCACCACTAACCAGGGCCAGGCCTGGAGAAGCGCACTGCTCCCTATGCTGTCTGCCTCACACGGGCTCAGAACACATTCTCTGCTGTACCAACTCTCCAACAGGAAGTTCACCAATTTCCAACAGGAAGTTCACCAACTTCACTGTAGTTACCAGGAAAAGCTGGGCTTAGAGTGGAGAGATGTATCCACAGAAGATGCTTCCCTTCAAGCCTACGAGCTACTGCCATGACTATGGTTCTACTTGAACTTCCTTTTTACTTTTTGGTAAAATGTTTTATTTATTTATTTTGAGAGAGAAAGCATTTATTTATTTTGAGAAAGAGAGGGGGAAAGAGAGTATCCCAAGCAGGTTCTGTGCTGACAGCACAGAGCCTGACGCAGGGCTCGATCGCACAAACTGTGAGATCATGATCTGAACTGAAATCAAGAGTCAACACTTAATTGACTGAGCCACCCAGGAGCCCCTCAAACTTTCTTTACCAGTGGTGAGCCCCTACACTGTCTGCTTAAACCACTGGCTCTGAATGGAAGGAGGGAAGGGGTGGGATGCCCCTTGTGTGTCTGGAAAGCCCTGCACAGCCTAGGTCAGACCACGGCTGACTCTCTCTGAGCTCAGCACCCCAACCTGCATCCCCCACTTCCCCAAACATGGTGGAGAGAGGCCGGGGTGACACAACAGCACCCACAGCAGTTCGCTGCTTAATGGGCCACGGAGCACAGACAACAGGCCTCACCTGTCCAATAGTTAAAGTAATCTTATTTTTAAGACTGGACATGAACAAGAGTTGCTGTATTAGAGTGCTGGGACTATAGGTTACTTGTTCCTTCCCCTTTCAAGCTCCCTGTGGTATGTTTATGTTAGTTGCAGAATGTCAACATCGGTTTGAGATAGCGTAAGTGCCTAGTGAGAGAGTGGGGCACTGGTCTCACTTTCTGTGTCCTCTTACCTGACCCTAATGGGGGCACTTTTGCCAACCTGCAGGGCATGCAGCCTCACCACCTGCTAAGGCCAGCTAGGGGAGGCTGGTGAGGAACACAGAACTAGGACAGGCCATCCCCAGCACGAAGGGGCCACGTCTACACGTGAACTCTTGAACCTAGACTCTCCCATCCAGGGCCTGTAAAAACACGTCCTAGGGGAGGTCATCGCCAATCCTACCTGCCCCTCCCAGCCCACCCAGAGAGGGAGCATGGGGCAGAGGTTAAGGGTGCGAACTAACCCTGGATAAATTCCCAACCCTCTCTGAATCTCAGGTCTCACCTGTAACATGGGAAGAGCTGCGGGGCTGTTTCCTAGGGTGGTTGGGAGGACAAAAAATAGCACCTGGCACAGGGCCGCTGAGCATGGGTCTGGGTTGTTGTGGTTGTTATTGTTTAGCAAGTCCTGGTCCGGGTGGGAGAGCTCTCAAAACCCAGGGCCAGCTGCCCAGCCGCAGCCCCAGAGGGGTGCCGCAGATACCCAGCCTGCCAGCACTCTCCTGCGAGCTGGGTGTGGGGCTCTGCCCACTGGTTTCCACAAAGGGAGCCCGGGGACCCCACGAGAGCCAGGCATGGGGTTAGATCAGGGCCTCCTGACTGAAAAGGGAGACACTTTTTCCTAGAGACCTGGTATGATTCACACTAAAAAGAAAACACATTGGTGACATTTAGGATCCAAAGATTTTTTTTAATAACTATAGGTATTTAAGAAAAAAATCCAGGGCGCTCACGTCATGGATGTGGTTTTCCCATATGGCCACGGTGGGGTCATAACAACAACGACAGGTGTCACTGAGAACACACTGTGTGCCAGACACGGTGTGAATGCCTTCCTGAGCCACCTCCCTTAATCCTCACAACTCCGGGCGCAGGCCTTGGGCTCCCTCCCACCCTACAGGGAGTGCAGAGGCCCAGGGAGGCGAGCGACTTGCCCAACTGAGGCCCCAGAGCAGCAGGTGGAGGTGTGAGGACAGGAGCCAGACAGGACCTGGGCCACTCGGGAGCCCACCTTCTTCAGACTTCCCAGACTGTCACAGGCCATTTCACCGAAGCAGTTCTAAACACACCAAGCTAGGTCTTCATACCTCTTTCCTCTGTGGGCCCCTGAAGGTCTTTACCAGTCGGGCCCACTTGGGAACTGGGAACAGGCAGCTTCTTCTCCACATAGAGTTTCCGAGAGCCCTCCAGTGAGCTGGCAGGCTCATTAAAGAAGTCCTGTGTCGAGCTGGAGTCCGAGAGCGCCACTGCCGTGCTATCCTGGCTGCGCTCTGAGGGGAACAAAGGAGGGAGAGAGGGCAGCAACATGAATCCACACCAGCACCAACATGGCGGGGCCTCCCCAGGGTGAGTGTCCTGGTGACTGCCCTGCAGAGGAGACGACATGAGCACAGCCACTGTGACCTTGCTGAGTCCTACCCGTCCCAGAAGGCTGCTGAGCCACTCACCAAAGGCACCAATCTCCACGGTCAACCTTGTGGGGTTTCCCCAAATGGTGGTGTTCTGGTAAATGGTTAACAATTGGCTCTTGGGGTAGGGGGGAAGCCCACATTTGTAGCATTTACTGATTTCTGTGGCATAAATACTCCCACCATGGCCAATTCAGGCTACCAGCCAACCTTATGTGGAGTTGGAAAGAGATGCACGGTAGTACACCATTCTATTGTGTTTCTACCACACAGAGACAATAGGCATGAACAACTAAGGCAAGTAAGAGTCCTGCAGAAATTTTTATCTGGTTGCAATAGGCCAAGAGTGGTCTAGAGTGAGAATGGGGATTCCCGGGGTCGCAGACACAAGGGAGATTGCTACCTACACGTTAGCTCCTCTCCTTGGAGCTCCCCATGCGCTCATGAGAAAGATCAGAGGCAGCGCAGGAAGAGGTATTGAAGGAAACCTTCCTGTGGTGCAGGCCTGGAAAGGAAGTGTGTTCGCCGCTATAGGAAAGGCATGAAGCCCTGGTGGAAACTTTTTTCCCTAAGGAACAAAAGCTTTAAGCCAGCTGGGGAAGTACAGCAAATCTTGCTGCCTCCAGGGTAAGGTGAAGACCCACTGCAGCTGTGGGAAGGGAAAAGAAAAACCTCCCGAGGGAGGGGCAGGAAGCCATTCAGGGCCCAAACATTTGAAGTCGCCCACAACTAGAAAAGCAAAGCCCCACTCCTGAGATGCAGGGACACAGTCTGCCTCAGTCTGCGGCTGGATAGAGACAAGAGAGAACCAGCCCTATCCCTACCCCAGGCTAACAAGCACAAGTAACACAAAACAGTCTACATAGGAAGAGGGGCAAGAACATGGAGAGAGACCGTCTTTGAGGTGTGTACAAAAGGCCTAAGGCTGAAGGTGGGAATGGAACACTAAGAAACCTTCTGGCAAATCAGCCCCCCTGTAAGCATAAGGTAAGGTCATAGGAATTTGAAGTCAGTGGTACACTAATGGTAACCACAGCAACAACAAAAACCAACCCCAGCTCAACTTCTGACTAGCCTAACTCCCCCTCCTAACAGACTAGAAAAGGAGAGAGAAGGCCATTCCCAGCATAAATATTACTTATTTCAGTTTCTTCCATCCTACACATAATATCTGATATTCAGTATAAAAATGAGGCACACACACAAAAGAAAAGAAACACTGTCAAGAGAGAAAATAATCAACAGAACAAGGCTCAGAGATGACCCAGATGTTGGAACTACCTGATGGGAAATTTAAAATAACTAAGATTAGGGGCACCTGGCTGGCTCAGTCACTGGATCATATGACTCTTGATCTCAGGGTCATGAGTTCGAGCCCCACACTGGGTGGGTATAGAGATTAGTTAGTAAGTAAACAAACAGACAAACAAACAAATAAATAAAATACAGTTAAAAAATAACTAAGAATAATATGATCTATAAATGTAATTAGTATGCTAAAGGCTCTATTAGAAAAGGGGGACACATTCGCGAACAGACGGGGAATTTGGGGAGTAAGATGGAAACTATGAGCAAGACTCAAATAGAGATGCTGGAAATAAAAGACACAATTAGAGACACAAAGAATGCCTTTGTCAAGCTTCTCAGCACACCTGACACAGCTCAGGGAAAAATAACCAAAACTTGAAGATAGGTCAGTAGAAATCATCCAAAGTGAGAGAAAGAGAGTGGAGGGGAAATCAGAACAGAGCACACAAAAGCATCCAAATGATCTAACGTACTAATTAGAATCCCAGAAGGAAATGACACAGACACATGTCAGAAGAAGTATTTAAAGAGATAATGACAGAGAATTTTCCAAAAATAATGAAAGACATCAAATCATCAAGAGTTTCTGAGAACACCAAGCAGGGCAAAGACTCCTCCACACATTTAAAAAAACAAACAAAACAAAAACAACAACAAAAAACCATACCTAGATATCTCATACTCAAACTGCTACAAACCAAAGATAGAGGGGAAATCTCAAAAGCAGAGAAAGACACATCATATATGGAAGAACAAAGTTAGGAATTACAGCACACTTCTCATCAGAAACCATGCAAGTCAGACATCTTTAATGCTGAAAGAAAAAAAAAGTCCATCCCTAATTCATATCCAGTGAAAATATCTCTCAAAAATGCAGGAGAAATAGACTTCGTCAGAAAAACAAAAGCTAAGAGGATTCCTTACTATGAAATCTGAGTTATAAGAAACATTAAAGAAAGTTCTTCCGGTAGGATGAATTGAAACCAGACAGAAACTTGGATCCACATAAAGAAATGAAGTTCCTCAGAAATGGCTAAAGCAGTAACAAAAAAGACATTCTTTTTCTTCACGTTTAATTCCTCTAAAGTAGTACTGTCTAAAGCAAAAACGGGTAGCAGCCTATTGTGAGTTTACAGTGTATGTAAAAGTAAAATGAATGAAAACAAGGGTATAAAAAATGGGAGGTTCTTGGTTCTTTCACTGCCCATGAAGTAGTATAGTATCATTTGAAGGTGGGCTGTGATGACTTAAACATGTATTTTGTTAAGCCTAAGGCAGTCACTACATTTTTTTAAGAAGGTATAAATAATAAGCCATTAATAGAGACAAAATGCAACCTTAAAAAATAAAACTTTGTCTTTAACTTTGTGTATCTGAAGGATGAAGCTCAATGAAATAGGAATCAAGAGAGCCAAGTTCAAGTTCCTCTTAGTGCCACTCACTAGTTATGTGACCTTGAACAGGTTAAGTCCCTTGCCCACCTATGAACTGCAACCACACATCCTTTCAGAGAGGTCCATGGCATAGGAGCTTCTGGGGACACAGGGAGAGAGGCAGACATGGCCTCCAAAACCCTCTAACTCTTTGCTCAACTACCTCAAATACCGGCAGCCCATTGGGAGGGCAGACATGAGCAGCCTGGTGGGCAAACAAACTTGTAACAATACTTGAAGTTGTTTCAACAAAATCAAAGGCCTGGACTCTGGGAGATCCAGGCTGCCTAAGTTTAAATCCTACTCAGTCACTTACTAGGCTGGAGAGACTATGCAATTGCCACAATTTCTTTACATTTCAATTTCCTCCTGTGTAAAACTGTGATATTACAAAAGCCCACTTCACAGAATTATGAGGATTAAATACATTAGTACATGTAAAGTGCTTGAAATAGGGCCTGATACCCAATAAGTGTTCCAAAATATCAGCTCAATGACCAATAGTGTTATTTCAGAGAACCTGGACCAATTGTTTTAGTAACGTCTCAAACTTGACATTACAGAGATTTTGCTCTGCATGGCAAAGGGTTCTGCTTATGCCAGGCTGAAGATCACACCTGAGTAGCACCATGTCGATGGGGTGGTAATCGCTTCTTATACACTGACATGACAGGGTCGTCCACAGCAGTCCTGCCTGCACAGAGGAACATGGAATTAGGCCTGTGCTTCCAAAGGCAGCTGTGCTGTTCCAGCCTCCTCACCCACGTCTGATCATAGAGCAGGGTTTGGAGACAGGGACGTCTCAGGCAGCCGCACAGAGCCTGCCACAGCCCTTCCTCCTTAGCTGCCTTTGCAATGTCCGCTGCCCAGTAACGGTAGGTATCAGTCACAGCTGGGCTGGCGGAGCAGTAGAAACTGGGACATGAAGTGTACGTGAGACCCTTCAGCGACCAACACAGAAGCTCTGCGTCTCACTGCTGGGGGAGCAGGGACCTGACTGGACCCCTCTGCCTCACACTTAGTGAGGGGCTTTCCTGACTTGCAAGGCCAGACCCCAAGGCTCTGTGAGCACTGAATGGGGATTACCGGCAGGTCTGCTGCCCTCATGAGAGGTCCCAAACCCAATTCCCCAGTGTGAAGAGATCACTTCTCTCAGAGAAATGGCAGGGGAAGCCCATTTGCTGTCTATGTGGAAAGCGGACCCTTGGCTCCAGAGGTCATACGGGGTCACTGCAGGAGCTCAGAAATCGGGAGTCTCAGACTCACATTCCAACCCCAGATCTGCATACTTGGGCTGCTCCAGGCCTCGCAATATGTTTGGCACGTTCTCTCTGCTCTGTTCCCAACAAACAAATAGGATCCCCATGGAGGCCTCCACATCCCAGTGCCTGGCACACAGGTGTGACAGCCCAGTGACCCATCCTGCAGTGCAGCATTTACTCTGGCCCTGACAAAGAGAACACCAATGGCTCGGACAAGTTGGTGGGCCATGCTCCTGCAGTGATGAAGTCCTTCTGATAGGCCAGGAGAGGTGCTTTCCACCAGCATCCAGAGCAGCTGTAGTCACTGCATGGCTGAGCAGCGCACCATGTGGCAAGCGTCCGGGAAGCGGGCCGAGCCAGGAAGATCTCACGAGAACTGGCTTGCTGCCTGATGAGCTCATGCACTCATAAGCTGTTGGGCTTTGGGCCTAAAGAATCGCTAATTTGCTGGAATCTCAGTTGTGATTATTACAAAAACCGAGGATTGGCTTAAGCAAACGGATATTTACTCCCAACGTGCTAATACCCTCCTGATGCTGCCTAGTGAGGGAACCTCTCATGCACCAGAGTGAGCAGGGAAGGCAGCAGACTGCCCTAAGAATGGTGTGGGCAAAAAAGGACCGCACTGGGCTTCAGGGGTGTTTGCTCCTCTGGGAGCAAATATTAGCAGGTAGAGCCTCTACTGAGACTCTTTTTTTTTTCAACGTTTATTTATTTTTTGGGACAGAGAGAGACAGAGCATGAATGGGGGAGGGGCAGAGAGAGAGGGAGACACAGAATCGGAAACAGGCTCCAGGCTCTGAGCCATCAGCCCAGAGCCTGACACGGGGCTCAAACTCACGGACCGTGAGATCGTGAC